TAATCGCTCAACGACTAAGACGGGGGTGGGGGGTGGGGGGGGGGCACTGTGGCCAATGACGGGAGGAGGGTACGGGTCCCCTTTTCAAGCCACTCTCATCACTACATCACAATAGCGGGACGGAAGAACACACACCCACTGACAGATGTAGCGCCACAACACCACGTCACCACGCGGGGCGGTTGCCGCGGCGGCGGCAGGGGGGTGACGCCAGAAGGTTACCTACGCCCCCGGAAGAGAGGCTGGCCGACACTGATTTTCTGCGTGCGCCCTCCCCCTCGCCCTGCCCCTCAAATAAGCAAACCTAGCCTCAAGGGCAACGAAAACACGCTCATCGGGCCAGGGAATTCAGCGCCGGGGGTGACAGAGAACAGACCCCCCCCCCCCCTCCCCCCGGTACGCACTCAACGGCACCCTGCGTTTGAAATCAAGAAGGGGGAAAGTATAACAACGTGTACACTCCCCCGCCAACCCCCTCCCCCGCTCTTATCCTCCTCCTGGTCCAACGTGCCGCGTGAGGGAAACGACAAGCGTCTTTCTGCCAAACCAACGACAAGCTTCTATCTGCAATGCAGGCAAGTAAGGGGGCACGATGGACCGGAAAAACAAAAATCTGGGTATGCATCGTAGGAAGAAGAAGAAGAAGAAGAAGCAGGGTGCGCACGATGGACGTGAGCCTTCATAAATATCCCTCCCATCCAGAGGTATTATAAGCTTAGAGGTAGATGTCGAGAGGGCTGATCTCTGCGAGCCGGGAGGCGATGCTGACCGCCGCGATGCGGTAGAACTTGGCGGCCAGCTTGCGGTCCTCTCGGAGCCTGGCGACGATCTGGTCTTTTGTGCAGGATCGGACCTGGGGGCAAGGGAAGGATAGGGAATACGGGCGAACAAGGAAGGAAAAAAGACAACCGGTGTAACCGTAGAAAAGTGTGTTGACCAGGAGAGCGACATGCACACGTATCGATGGGGTAAACATTGAATCAAATCGGAACTGGGCAAGGGTTTGGTTGGGAACTCGAGCGAATCAACAAAGAAGGAGCACACAACCAGCACACGGGAGCCGTGCCAATGATACAATACACACACAGGAAATGAGAACCAACGTTTGTAACGGTATCATCAGAATGGACGTCTCCTAGCCTACACACAGTAAGCAGAGACTCGCACGCGGGTGCGATTGTTGTCCAATTACCACCAGACAGGCCGCATAATACCGTTGCAGCTCAATGGTGACAAAATAGACAATGTGGCAGACCGTCCAAGCGTTTCTTCCTGCTCCTGCTTGCTGTCCCTGCTCCTATTGTCGTCGGGTATGGTGAACAACATGCGGTGAACAACATGCACTTCTCTTGATGACAATGCATACCGTCTGCGCCACGTACTGCTGCTAGCGGTGCTGCTTTTAATTGTTGGGGAGCATCTTATAGAAGCCGAAATCAAACCATTAGACTCGCTGACTAGTCTAATGGTTTGGTTTCGGGTTCTATAAGAGTGAGCCGTGGGTTCGCTGACTAGTCTAATGGCTTGATTTCGGCTTTTATAGTCTCCTTTCACTCACCACCGCCTTCTCCGAGTCCACGACGATAGAGCTGTAGGCCGGAGAGCCGGTCAGGAAGGAGTCGAAGCCGAAGATCTCTCCCGAATGGATCTCCTGGAAGACGACACGGTCCATGGCCTTGCCGCTGTCTAGCACGTTCGACACGTGCTCCTGGAGGGGGAAATGCGTGCGTTGCTGTTGCTATGGGTGGTGGTTGCATTTAATACATGAATGCGCCCTCCTCCACCCGGGCTTGACATATTTGACTTGCTACGGTCGTTGGCTCTCGCGGCCGGCGAAAAAAAAAACAAACAGTACAGTAGTTGGTTGAGACCTCCATCCCGGCTTGACACCTTTGACTTGCGGTCATCAGCGGTCCAAGAGCCGCTTGTTTTTCCCCTGTGGGTTACAACAGGCACACTGATCTTGCCTATCCTATTCTCTCTCTCTCTCTCTCTCTCTCTCTCTCTCTCTCTCTCTCTCTCTCTCTCTCTCTCTCTCTCTCTCTCTCTCTCTCTCTCTCTCTCTCGCTCTGTTT